ATTCCATCATATTTGTTTTAGCATCAGTCTTCCCTGCCCAGTGGTAAGCAGCCCCCGTAGGGCAGGGACCTTGGCTGTCACATCTGTGCTGTGTCCCTGTCCCTGTACCTAGGCATGGCTGGGGCTCAATAAACACTCGTTGACTGGATGAGGGAACACATGAATAAAAACCCTGTTCATGTCACCGTTGCAAAGCTTTCCACCTCAGTGGTCCCAAGCGGTCTCCCTCACCCAAAGAAGTTTGACCAGGCCTGGGATACACAAGATTATGTGAGCATAGTCCTCTGCTCTGCTATGCCCCAGCTGACTGGCCTCCATACACCTCTCCCCATACTATGGGGTGGGGTCTCTATCACTATTTATTGGGCCTGAATGAGAGATGGAATCTGGAAAAGTCTTTGAAAGCTGTGAAGAGCTTTAATTGGTAGCATCACTCTGTACATGTCTGAGGCCCATAGAGGAAGGGGCCTCATGTAAGGCCACACAGCCAATGTATGGTGACACCAGACCTCCCCTGGCTGAGCTTCAAGTCTACCCAGGCTCAGTGAGGGCACCATCTGCCTGGAGGCTGGGCAGGGGTGGAGGAGGAGAGGAGCTGGGTGCTGGGAGCATGTAGCTTCAGGCCCAGAGCCAGGGTGGGGTGGGCGGGGCCCCCAGCAGGAGCCCTGAGTGGGTCCTGGCAGCTGGGCATGGGGGAGCCAACTGGCACAGCCTGGGTGGTGGCATGCTTGTTCTCCATGCGCGTGACAGTCTATTTTTTAATCAGCACCCTCCCCATCCCCCAACTCCACGTGCCGTCCCAATGGGCCCCATAGCAGGAATCATGTCCCAACTGATTCCAATCATCTCCCACCATGGGGCTCAGTGGGAGGGTCCCCAAGTGCCATCTTCCCATGAAGCTTATAAGTACTAAGCAGCCCAGAAGGCAGGACAGGAGCCAGGGAGGAAGGCACCTGTGTGAACTTGGGCCAGCCCCTGGACACTCTGAACTCAGTTTCCCACCCCCCTACAGTGACGGGAGGCATGCCAGACTCCATGAGAGTTCATTACAGCTCTGGCCTTAGGATCCACTCAAACTGCGTGACACTAATGATGCCCACTTGTCAGGCCCTGGCAAAGCCTCCACGCCCACAGTGCTCCCAGGGCACACTTGATCCTCCTTGATCTACTCTCAGGGGAGGCGGGGGAAAGGAAAAAGCAGAGGTGGCTCAAGGGCTAAATTTAGAACCCCAGACCCCAGACCCAGTGAGGATTCTCCTTTCAGGACCTGAGGGACAGGAATGATGAGGCTCAAAGAGGAATGCTGTGTGCTCTTATGCAGGTGGCTTGGCCCCTCTGAGCCTCTGGCACTCCATCTGAAACAATAGAAATTATATTGTGCAGTAGATAAGCATTCAGACTTTGGGGCCAGACTGTCTGGGTTTCGATCTGGCCACTTTCCAGCTGTGTGACCTTGGAAAGCCCACTTAACCTCTCTGTGCCTCAGTTTCCCATCTGTTGATTAAACAGTATTTCCTTCATGAAGTTGTTGGCATGTAAAACATGTAGAACACGCCCTAGCATACAGTAAGTAACCATAAACATTAACTATTTTTTAAGAACTTTGGTTTTTATCCTTTGCACATTCTTAGTCCCCAGGAGATCTTATTCCAGAGGATTGGATGTTGAAGCCTCAGGTCAGCCCACTCTCCTGTCTGTGGGGCTCATCCAGCCAGACCCTGCCTGGCCCATTACCGTAATGGCCCCTCCCGCTGATCCCACATTTTCAGTGCCCTCTAAGCTCCTCCACACCTTGATACCTTACCCTTCCTGGCCTGTTTCATAACAGCTCAGAACTGATGCCTGAGCCCCAGAGGAAAGAAATGATTTGTCCAAGACCACCAGCCAGTCAGCTAAGACTGGAGGCTCAAGTACCCGCTCCTGAAGTGCAGGCCAGGCCCTTTCCACTGTGCTGTGCCCATCAAAACCTGCTCCTGGCCAAATGTCAAGAAGTAATTTATACTGAGATATGAGTCTTGAGTGAGAGTTCATCTCCTCAAAGGCTTGCTGTTGTAATGGAGACCAAAACATGATAATACTACTTAATAAGTAACAGGGTTTTTTTTTTAGCATTTATCATCATGTCATTTCATTTCTGAACAACAACACAAGGTAAAGTTTATTATTGTTTCTACTTTATAGATAAGGAAACAAAAGTCCAGAGAAGTTATATAATATGCTCAAGATCCCCCAGCTAGCCAGGATGAGAACCCAGGGATCCAACCACAGAATCTGTTTATCTTCCTCCCACACAGAATTTCGGTTCACTTGCAGCAGCCCTGGGAGGCTGGGCAGAGTACGGTAGGCACAGCATAGTACTCTGCCTCACCAAGTGGAAAAGATGGAGGCTAGGATGGTGGAATTTCAGGCAGTGGCCAGTTGGTAAAGATTTCATTCTGGAGAGAGGCTTTTGTAAGCCTCTGGAATTACAGGTCCCCAAACTGACTCCTCCTCTGGCCACACTGGGTAGCAACTGGGCCAGTTCACAAAGGACTCTGAGAACACACACACACACACACACACACACACACACACACACACACACACACACACTCACTCACTCACTCACTCACTCACTCACTCACTCACTCAGCAGAGCCCAGCCATCCCTCTGACCAGATCACAGNACACACACACACACACACACACACACTCACTCACTCACTCACTCACTCACTCACTCACTCACTCACTCAGCAGAGCCCAGCCATCCCTCTGACCAGATCACAGGCCCAGGCTCTTTGGGTCTGCAGCCTAAAACCCTGAGGGATAAATGCATTTTCATAACCTAAAGCCAATGGGTTATTTTCATCCCCACCCTTAGGTCTTAGTTTAGACCATTTGCTATCCTCTGAAACACTCTTCCTCCCAACTAAATGCCTCCCATTCTTCTAGACCCAAGTTCTGGACATGCCACCTCCATGTCAACCATGACTATGACTTCCAATAACATTCAGGTCTTCACTCTAGCGTCATCTCTGGAGAGAGGCCTTCCCTTCCCACAGCACAAAGTAGCCTGTCCAGTTGCTCTCCATCTTAGCAGCATGGCTTTTCAAAAAATATCCTTTTATTTATCTGTAAATATCTTGTTGATTTCTTTACTTGCCTCTTTCTTGTCTATTTCCTCAATTAAATGCAAGCTCCTTGAGGGAAGGAGCTTACTATCTGTCTTGTTCACTACTGTAACCCCAGTGCCTAAGAACCTACCTGTCCTACTGATGACCAGGGACACAGAGGTCCATAAAGAGCAAGGGATTTACCCAAGGTTACACAGCAAGTAAGTGTCAGAGGTTGGCCTAGCACCCAGGTCCCTGCACTGCAGCCCAGGGCACTTGGCCTGTCCCTACCCCTGCCCTGGTTAACCCTCTGTTGGCCTATCTCATCATTGCCTCCACGTCACAGTGGGGGCCAGAGCCCACAAAATCCTTGACTACAGCGCTCTTCTTCTTCCCCAGGGGCCCATGGTGCCCTGACCTGGGCAGCCCTGCCAGCTTCCCCCTCAGTCCCTCCCATCCTGGCATCAGCAGCTCTGATGAGCTCATGTCTGAAAGACTGGAAGCAGCCCTGCAGGAAAAGGTGCCTCCCAGGCCAGACCCCTAGGCCTAGAGGTGTGTTCGGCCTTCTAAGAGGGCAGCCCTGGCAGGTGGAAGAGTGTGCTGACCCCTGCCCAGCCTGCCTCCTGGAGCTGTGAAGTGGGCTCACAGGGAGACATGAGTCGGCCTCCACAGGGTGGGGAGGAGGTAGAAAAAAGGCTCCTGTGCTTTTCCCAGCTCTCCAGAGACCCCTCTGCCACTTGGCACCCCCCTGCCCCACTAATCAAGGACTGCTGTGTCCCAAGGAAAGGGGGATCTGCTGCCTTCTATCACAGAATCACCCTCCGCAAATATCTTCCCCTCCCCAGCCTCAGTCTCCTCAACTCTAAAACGGGGAGATCAGAGATAATGCTAACTGAAGAGGCTAGGAGATTAGCTGGGAACCAGGCACCTAAATGCCACAAGGGTGCCTGGTTTTTTTCACCTTAGGGGAAGAGCAACAGCTAGCAAGGGAGGAACAGAGTTAAAGGCCTTTAACCATGTAAATGCTGATTCCAACCACAGCATGGTTTAGGTGCTAGTTTGGAAGGTGAGGGGGAGCTAGGCCGTGGCCAGAGAAGTGGGGGCCAGTGTGAAAGGCAGCAACTGGGAGCCAGGGTGGCACAGCAGCTAACAGTTTACCTTTGGGAAGTTGTCTGAATATCAAACTAGAGTGATCCTAGTCCATCCTCCTTGTTGTGTGACTGGGGAAACTGGCGAGGAGAGAGGAGGGCCCGCTTGGAACCAAACACCTGGACACAGCAGCAGGGCGTTTCCAGCTGCAACTGGGGGGCCCAGTCCCCTGCATGAGCTGACACAGCAAGTCGTGGGTGGAGGTCATCAGTTTGTTTGTGACTCTGCCCCAAACACAGGATGTGGGCCAGGCCTGGGGCTGGTGATGGGCAGGCACCAGCAAGGCCTCCGGGCCCTCAGGCCATGTCTCCTAGTCCTCTCATCAGCATCCCATCTTACTGTGTGTCTTCCCACACATGTCACAGGGGTGGGGCACCCTCCAACAGCCCCCACAGCCACCACCAGAGGGGCTGTCTCCAATGCACTGTCCACTCAGGGGTCACCCTCCCTACCCTCTCACTGGGGGCCAGAGAGAGCAAGGGGCATGTCCCAAGATCTCACAGCAAGTTGGTTTATACCAGGGCCACCTGACACTTAGGAAAGGGTGGGGAGTGGGACTCGTACTTCCCTACTCACTCTTGTCCCCTGTGGACTACCCAGACATGCAACACAGAGGGTCCCTGTCCTGATCCAGAATGAGCCCGTGATTTGCAGAGGGAAGTGGGGTGGAAAGATCTTTTTCCCAGAGTTCTCAAAGAGGTGTTGTCAGGGCCCTGGGTGGAGCCCCTGATTCCAGTGTAGTGATTAGCAGGGAGCGGCACCCTCCACTCCCTTCACTTCCAGGGCCCCGTTCTCACCCTGACAAATGGGGCAATAGTAGGGATGTTGTGAGAATTTGATGCGGAGCCCTCAGGACAGCTTCCGCGCTCCCTCGTAGGCGCTCAGGAAAGGCCTCGATTTCCCCAGGTGGGGCTTGGACTTCGGCGTCCCGTCTGCCTCGACTAGCAGACCAGGCGCCGCCCGCCCCGCCCGCAGGAAAGGGGTGCGCGGGGCCAGCACACGCCGTTCCCGCTGCCCCACCGGCGCCCATATTGGTGAGCCCGTTAGAGCCCAGCCCGCAGGTTTCTGGAGCCGAGCGTTCCCACCTTCCCCGGAGCTGAGCTGCGGGGCTCGGATGTCCGGCCATTGCGCACCCGTGAGCCCAGGCCGCCCCGGCCCCTTGGTTTGCTTGCGGGCTGGGGCTCTAGCCCTGGAGCCCCCACGCAGCCCCGGAGAGTGCCTTCCCAGCGTCGGGGCATCCTCCAGCTCCTAGGCTGCTGGAGAGCTTCGGAATTCCTGGCACACACACACCGAGACTTCCCCCACCCCCTCCCACGGTACAGATGGGGAAACTAAGGCCCAGAACGTAGCAGCGACTTGGCCAAGGTCACCCTGCGTGGGAGGACCAGAGCCCAGATGTGCCATCACCGCCTGGGCGGCGCCGGGAACAGCACAGGTGGGACGGGGCGAGGATCGCTTGGCCCCGGTACCCCTTCCCGGCCGGCCCCTCACTCACCTCGAGCCCGACGGGGTCCGCGAGCTCACCCGCGCCGCCGCCGCGGCGGCGTACCTGGGCACGTCCGCCAGTGCGTCCCGCCCCGAGACCACCGCCGCCCCCTCCCCGCGCCCAGCGCCCGCTCCGCGCCGCTGCCAGGGCCACCGCCACGGCCACCTCCAGGGCCACCGCCTAGCGGGCTGCTCGGGGACCCGGAGCCGCGAGCCCGCGGGGCAGGCCGGCGAGCCAACCGCGCTCCTGCCGCGCGCTCCCCCGGGCCCTAGCGCCGCCGTGCCCGCCCGCCCCTCCCTCGGAGGTGCAACTCCCTCCCCACCGGCGCGGCTTCCAGTCTCCGGTGGGTCCTCTTTTCTCTCCCTCTTTTCTCCTTGTGCCTCACTGCTGCCTGGTTGTCTGGCTCTCCGTTTCCTCCTTATTGTTTGAGTCTCCAAGTTGGTACTCAGCTTCTTCATGCCTCCCCGTCTATCTCATACCCCCTATTTTAACATCCCTCCAACTAAATTTTCTCTATCCACCCTTTAAATGTCTTGTGGTTCTGTCCCCATAACCGACAACACCTCCCACCTCCCCATCCCGTTTCAGATCAGACCCAGATGCCTACCCTCTCAGGCTCATCTCCCCCTCTTCTCAGCCCCAGAGACTGTAATAACTGCCTACCTGGGTAGGACTTAGGCAAATGGGAACTGAGGTAAGCTGCCACCTCCCCACCAGCCTGGTGCCATCCCCTGACTTCGCTGGTGGGCCAGCAACAAGGCAGGGTGCTGTGTCTCAGTTCCCCATCTCCTTGGTGAAATAAATGCCATTCAGGTTGAGCTCAGCAGAGCCTCATGGCAGCAGTGTGCATCAGAATCACAGGAGAATGCTGGAAAGAGTCGAGATTCCCACTTTCTAGCACCTCTCCCAGTGGGGCAGGCGGTGAGCTTGGAAACAGGACTGATAACAAGCACCCTTCAAATTCCCAACGATTTTGAAACAAAACCGCACTCGGAAAAATGTTGGCCTGGGTTTTCACCAGTTTCCCTGGGTTCCAAGTACCCCACCCTTTCATCAAGAGTGGTTCCACTTTCATCTGTTTTTTATGTCAATGTTCTGTGTTTAGATTTCTGCTAAAGGAAGTCAGAAATGAGCTGATGTAAGCCCACCCCAGTCGAGGCTCTGTGAAACACAGAACTGCCGGTGGCCTGGGTTTGAAACATCCCCTGTCCCCAGGGGACACGCTCAGAGTGCAGGAGGTCAGGTGACAGAGGAGACAAACCCTCCCTGACTGCTCCTGTCCCTCTGGTTGGCCTCATGGGCTGTAGAGAATTCCTTTGCCCCTGAGGCTCTCTTGTGTTGGGCTATCACAGACAGGGACAGAGAGGGGCACGGGGGTTCTGGTGATTGGCACCAGGCGACTTTTTGCCTGCCCCATGAGTGCATGTGCTAGGAAAGTGGCCGCCTGCAGACAAACTGTGTGGGTGAGAGAGAAAGGGAAAGAGAGAGGCTAGGATTACTGTGTGGGTGGGTATGAAAAAGAAAGACATGAGGAAAAGCAAGGAGGACAGCAAGTGGTTCAGTCTGTACGTAGGTGTGTGAAGTGGGTGTGCAAGAGTGGATATGCCTGTAGGAGAGAATGTGTGCATGCAAAAGAAATTTTAAAGTGTAGGTATGTAAGTAAAAAAATATGTTTTTAACCTGTATCTAAGGGAAGGAATATATGTGCTTGTATGTTGCAGATGGGACTGTACTTGTGTATGCAAATCTGACATGTGTCCACATGTGAAAATTAGGTATGCATGGGTAAGCGGGGTCTGTGGGAGGGTGTGTGCCAGCATATACCCCATGCATGGATGTGTGGGTGTCTGAGGGCATGCATGTGTGTGCATGTGTGTGCAGATGTATGAGTATATGCATGTGAATATTTGGATAAGAACATCTATATACACCATGTGTGTGTACATGTGTGTTTGGGGGTGTGAATATGTGTAAACCCACATGTGTATATATGAGCCATACATGAACCTGTGACCCCTGCTCTCACACTGTCATCGTCCTCTGTACAGTCACTGTGGAGGGGGCGTGGGAGGGCATGAACAGCATTCTTCCCAGCCTCCTGCTCTGTCTGTCCTCTTCCCACAGGCCTGAAGACCAGAAGCCTTTTCCTTGGCCCGGTGACCACTGTCAGCTCCTACCATGGGCAGGGATTCCTCTGCCTCAGTAAGACAGACGTAGCCAGGGCAGTGCATCTGATACCTCAAATCCCCACCCACATCCCCACCCTTCAGGCTCAGAACAGTGTCCACTAGAGTGGGCCTCCAAGACCTCTAGATACCCCAGACCCCCAATAACCAATGATTCAGAGAGCGGGATGGTAGCTGTCTTAAAACCATGGGCAAAGGAGAAGCTAGATCAGCAGTGGGTCTCAGGTCTCCCTGAGTGTATTCAAGGGGAAGGGATTATGGCTTGGCAGAATCTACACCCCCCACACACACACCTGTGCCCTGCCATCCATAACCTTAAAAACCTTTTTCCAGCCTCAGGTGGGTGGAAGAACACAGACTTGTCCCTATGGAGACAAGGCAGCACAGAGGGTGGTTGAAAGCATGGGCCCAGACCTCCTGGGGTGCAAATCTCAGCTACTCCACTGGCAGGTCTGAGACTTTGACAAGTCAGTTAAACTCCTTATGCCTTAGTTTCCTCATTTATGAAACAGAAATAAGAAAAGTACGGACTTCATAGGGTTACTTAGAAGATGAAATGAAGTCCACCATACAAAGGGTTTAACACAGTGCCTGGCAGCTAAACTGGGAGACAGAAGCTCCAGGTTCTTATTCGAGCTTTGCCAGCAACTTACTGTGTGACCCTGGACAAGTCACTTGCCATCTCTGGGCTTCAGAGTCTCCACAAGGTTATCTATATCTTATCTACATCAGTTGGGTCCTGCCAGTTGTGAGAAGCTGAGACTTTGTGGAGAGCCCCACAGGACACTTTCTTTACCACATATATTCATCCAGGTTGGTAGCAGCTAATGGCAGGAAACTTGAGCTGCAGGCTTCTGCCCACCTCATCTCCCTGCACTCCTTGTTTCCCTAGCCTGCCAGCAACCCCATTCTGCCCTGCTTAGCTGGTACTCGGGCCTTAGAGAAATGGTACCTGTACCCATCCATCCCAAGTGGTGGGTGCCCAAGTCAGAAGATGTCACAAGCCATATATAGAACTGTCAGAGAGCACCCAAGAGAAGCAGTTATTATTGCGGAAGGACAGATTTAATTGTCTGAAGATGCTTATAATCCTCTGGTGGTAATGGGAGGAAGTTTTAAAAGGAAGCTCTAATCCACTAATAACCTGGCAGCTTCACAGGCCTCTTCCCTCCAGATCTCCAGGCAGAGAGGAGAGACTCCGACCACTCCCTTTCCCAAGGGAACAGAAAGGCCAGTGTGGGCTCTGACCCAAGACCTCCTAGACTTCTACTCTGCAAGACCCAGCTTCCTTCCTGCCTCCGCCTCCGAGAAGTCTTCCCTGCCTATTCCTTAAGCCTGAGGTCTCCTCTGCCCTAAAAGTGTCAGGACAGAACTGGATGACCATCTGGCTGGATGTTAATTAAAAAGAGGAATGAGCCAGACTGTGAGGCAAGAAGAGCATGATCACAGTCTCAGCTCTAATACTGACTGTGTGGCCTTGGGCAAGGTGCTTAGGTCTCTGTGCCTCAGTTACATCACCTGTAAAGTGGGGAGAACAAAACCTGCCTTGAAAGGTTCCAGTAAGATCCACGAGGATGAGATGCCATGAAATACCTGGCTCCGTGTGAAAAGACACTAGGACTCATTAGAGGTGGTCCCTTCTTCTCCCCTCTCCACACGTGGTATCTCCTACTCCAGAATGTCAGCATGTGACATTTTGCCTTTTATAAAGTATACAGAATACACTGGTGGCTAAGAGCAAAACTCCATGTTAAAAAAACTGATTGAATCATGGTGTAACAGCTTGCTAATCATGATTCTTGGACCAGTCACTTAATGTTCCTTGGGCCTCAATCTGTATAATGGAGGTAAGAGCAATATATCCCTCAGGGGGATTTTTATGAGATTAAATAAAATGATATGTGTAAAGATCTTAGCTTGTGGGCTTGGCCCATGAGGGCTTAACAAGTAATAGCTGTTGTATTATTAAATTGATGATCATCATTTTAATTATGACCACCATCCTTCAAGTGCTTATCTAGATTACTCTAAAATTTCCAAAAGACTGTTCCATCTAAGATCATTGCAACCACACAAGAGCTCTATGAGGTACTCAGGGCTCATATTTTTATTTGACTTTCAGGTCCTGGGCTCAGGTTCTTGGGGACCTGGATTTGGGCTGACTGGCGCGAGGGCCCACCTCTAAGCTCAAAGTTACTGAGCCTTCCTGGGGTACTCCTTCTTCTTGCCCCAGATGAGCCCCTCCTTGGTCCTGCCCAGCTTCCAGTGTGACCCAAGCATCAGGGGGATTGGTATTATGGGGGGTGGTCAGATCCTCGAATTATTTTAGAAAAGAGAGTGGATGGGATGGCTGGTGAGATGTCAGCCAGGACATCGGAGATGGCTGCAGAGAAATGAAGAGTCCCTTCAGTTTCCTGATGCACGAGTCTTCCCAGGCCTGTGTCCCCCGCGTGCCCTGAGCCCCCATGATCTGCTGGCAGCAGCTCCTGCATGAGTGAGCATGGCCTGGCTCACGTCCGTCCCATCTGGACCCACTTGAGCGTTTCCAGGGGCCTGGCGTTGGAGGTGATTCACCACCCTGCTCTGCCGACTCCTGCCGCCTGTGGGAAAATTACCATCCTTCCTTCCTTCCTTCTGTGCAGTGCACACCAAGCCCTCCCCTACACGCTATCATTGGGTCCCCACTGCAGCCCAGGTGACGTGGGCCCTTCCTCCATCATATTTAACAGATGGGAACCCAAGGCTCTGGTGGGAACTGTGGGCTCAGCTCAGCCCCTGACAGGCCAAGTGACCCAGAGCAGTCTGCTCCTCACTCTGGCCCTCAGTTTCCCCACAGGTAAAATAGGGAGCTCAGCCTAGCTCGAAGGCTTCAGTCTCTAACTCATAAGCTCTGCAAGGGCAGCAACCCATCCGATTTGCCCTGTGCCACATCCCCAGTGCCCTCAAGTAGCCAGCTCTCAGTATGTGCAATGAGGCCATCCTGTCCCATCAGCTGCTCTGGAGTCCATGGTCATTTGTTGCCAGAATGATTAAAGGGCAGATGAGAGAGAGAGAGATGAACTTCTTTTTAACCAAGCATGATAATATGACTTTCTCTCGTTGCCTTCCCATGTGCTCTTTGGCAGAGAAAAGAGTGGGCTTAGATGTGGTACAGCTGGAACTGCATGTAACTCACAGCCTCCCTGTCTCTCCACAGCTGTTAATCTGGGCATGCCTGTGGGACTCTGATGTACTCTTATGTGTCATGGAAAAACAGTCATGAGACCCTGTGTCAATAAGGTTGTGGGTCCCCCATGACTCTGGCAATCCAGGGGAAAAGGGGCATGAGCTTACCTGGTTTCTGGGCACCTCTGGGTCCAGCAGCGGGGCTGCAAATGGCCATCGTCACTTGCCGGGCCTTCACCACGTCCCAGTCCTGGCTGGCCCCGTTGTCATGCTGGGGCCCCACTCGGGCCTCCTTGGAGTGGCTGAGTGGCTGAATGCCCAGGGCTCTGGGCAGCTCTGGTGCCTCTTGGGTGGCTCCACAGGTGGAGTTGTGCCCCTGCCTGCTGGCCACTCCTTCTTCCTCCAAGTCTGCGAGGCTCTCCTCTCCTCCACTCTCCTCCGCCTCCAAGGCCAGACACCGGTAGCTCCCATCAGGGATCTGGAAGGTGCAGGGAGTAGGCCTGTCTTCGCAGCACCCAAGGGGTGGGGGTGGGAGGTGGGGGCCCAGCATGGTGCTGCCTCTCCTTAGCGGTGCAGGGAAGCTGGTGCCAGGGTGGCACAGGACTGGCCACCTGTGCGAATGCTGATCTCTGCTCCCCTCCGGGCCTCCTCTGGCTGTCTGCAGCCCTGCCTGCCTCAGTAGACTCAGAGCTGGGGCAAGGTCCAACTGGGGGCCTTCCTGGGCTGGGGAAGTGGTGGACCCCCAAGACCTCCCTATTAACCCGCCTCTGGTTTGTGAGACCTCCTCCTTCAAGATGATCTATCTGCACAGAGAAAAAAAAATAACACATGAGACAGTTTGCTGGGTGTTCCAGGATGAATTTCTGAGATCTGTCCACCTTAAGGTGGCCCTGAAAACTGGCTGGGGTTTGGGGAACAGATCCCACACATCCATGGGAAAGTTCAAGCATCAGTCATTTGACATCCCAAATTTTTGCCATACCCTTATGCCACCTGACACTATTTGCTTAATATTTTCCTATAAGTCAATTTTAAAAAACTTATTTTGATTACTTTAGATTTAAGTAATAGTTGCAGGAAAACCACAAGTATGTTTGCTAAGTGGTTTTGCTCCCTAAAACACATTAAATAAATACCCAGTTATTTAAAAATAGTTATCTGGGCACTGCTTAGAAAGAATTTTCTCACATGCCACCAAAAGTACATACACTGTAGGACCCATAGGAACAGTGGGGCAGAGTGTGCAAGACTGGTGCCAGGGGTACTGGTGGAGGCTGTGCACCAAGGGAGATGGTGCAGCAATATGCTTTCATGCCCAGGCGTTGAGCTAGAATCCCAGCTCTGCCACCTGTGTGACTGACAGCAAGTCACGTGACCTCTCTGAGCCACCTCAGCTTTCCTGTCTGTAAAATGGGAACATAATGTCTCCAATGCAGTGCTGCATGGAGGATTAAGCAAGAAAATGCATGCATAAGAGCGCAGTTTCTGAGACCTAACTTACTACATGTTGGCTATTCTTTCATTCCACAAAAATTTCTTGAGCTCCTCATTACACTACAGACACCATAAAAGGTACTTGGGATACGTTGGGGGTGCTGAAGATATGGTACTCTGGCTCCTAAAGCCTTAAAATCTGATGGGGGGAGCTGTGAATGATAACAAGAGCAATGATAATAACAGTATGATGATGTATAAAAGTTAACAGTGATGACAGTCTTGGAGAGAGGGGATGGAGGTTTCCTATTAGGGATGCAAAGAAGGGTTGGATGGGAGAGAAACTTGGGCGGAAAAATTGGCTTGGCTGGGAAGCAGATGGAGAGTGGGTGTGGAGGAATAGGGAGGGGTCTAGCATGCAGCCCAGTTTGTCACTCCAGTGACAGCATGATTTCGTTAATAGAGATGAGGATTGCATGGGAAGGAACAGGTGTCCGGGGAGCAGGGAGGTGAGTTTGATTTGGGACTTCCGGGGGACATGAGCATAGTCAGCAACCATGGGTCTGGAAAGCAGAGGAGAGAGAATTCCAGGCTGGAAACAAACATTTGAAAATCATCTAGGGAGGCACCGGGGGTGGAGGCGGACAAGACGCCCCAGGATGGGCAGATAGAGCTGTTATCTTTATACTTGGGAGGAAACCTTGGAATTTACAGATCTTGGTTTACAGATTTTGAAGTCCACTATTACTTAGCTGCATAAACTCTGGGTGAGTGTGAACTCTCTGAATCTCACTTATCCTTTTGCAAAATGGGGAGAGAAGTCCTCCCTGCCCATTCGTGTGCTGGCTGTCCCGTGGGCAGTGAGAAGCCTGAGAACTGTAGATGTCTGTGGACACTGGTGACCTCAAGACCTGCAGTGGCCTCAGCTGCAGTGGCACTTGACCTGGAGGCCACACCTCTGCCCCCAGGCAGGGTGAGGTATCCCCAACCCTAGCAGGCTGGGTCGAGGCCTTCGTTTCTAGTTGGAGCTCTGCCAGGAGGGTTGGTAGGCAAAAGGAAAGATAAGCACATTACCAGGCTGCAGGGTAAGCCAGCATCAACCAGGGAAATGCAAACAACCCAGGATCAGAAAGATCACAGCACCTGTTACAGCAGCCTCAGTGGCAGGGAAATCAGCACAAGGAAGCCAACTTCCTGCCTGAAGAAGACTGAGTACTCACAACAATGATTCTGTGCTGGGTTATTTACTTAGGTTATCAAAATAAATCCTCACAACAACCCTGTGAGAGGTACTGTTGTTACTGTCCCATTTCAGTGGTGAGGAAAGTGAGGCCACATATCTACTAGTGGAGATTCAGGGAATCTTAGAATCTCATGAAGGGAGGGCCACTAGAATTCTCAAGAGACCTAAGCAGCTATGTGACCTTGGTCAGGTGTCGTCTGCACTCCACAGTCACTTTGCTCAAAGGCCCAATAGTGGCTTGAGCCAGATGACACTGGAGGGTCCATCCAGCCCTGGCATTGCCAGATGCCAGGATTCTAAGCCCCGCCCCCACCCTCTGCACCACCTTGGAGGCAGATGGCAGCAGGCAGGAGACATGAGCATGGGGGCAGGGCTCCCTCTGACGCTCTGCAGGGGCCTTGCCTCACTCTATTCCTGCTTCTGTTTTGCTGTATTTGACAGTGGCCACAGTTTCCAGGAAAGAAGACAGAGGCGGAAAAGTTAACTTTCCGCCACCCACACAAATATTTTTGGCCAGAGTTGTCTTCACACTGCCAAGCCAGGAGGGAGGGGTTGGCAGGAGCACCCTGCGTCAAGTCTCCTTCCCCAGGAGGGAGGACTCCCCATGTGGGCCCAGCCCTGGAACACACCCTGCTCAGGAGAGGGGCAGCGGTGCAGGCGGAGGTGAGGATCCATAGCATAATGGCAGCTGCCACTTCCTGGGCGCCTGCCAATGCTGTGCCAAGCCTCTTACCAAACACTCCTGGGGGCAGGCCTGTGAGTGCTGTTTAAGGGAAACTGAGGCATGGAGAAGTGAATTCCACATCCCGGGTCACAAGGCAGTGAGCGGTCAAGCAGGAAGGAAATCAAGCTGCTGGGCCCTGTGCTATTATTACCCACTGCCCTCAGTGGCCGCAGACCCTGACTCCAGAGATCCCCCCAACAGCCCTTGAGGTTGAGCTCAGACACAGCACCCCCATCTGTGTGGGCAAGCTCCATGGTAGGTAGCAGGGAGCCCATTCCCCAGCCTCAGCAGAAATGGGAGGGTGGTCCTCTAATGCCCATTTCTCCCCATCTGGCCATAGACTCTAGGGCATTAAGCCTCTGCAGGGCTGATAGAGTCTCGCAAACTCACTGTCCTCGTCTCAAAAAGGGCACACTGAGCCCAAAGCAGGGAAGTGCTTGCTCAGGTTGTACAGCAAGTCAGACATGGCCCTGGCACGAGAACCCAGGTGCCCAGACACCCACCTCCAGCTCCTCCAATAAACCCAGCTCCTCCCCACCCACTGAGGGATCAGCCTCTCCTCCTTCCTTCCCGGACCTCCCATGAGTTTAAGGAGGCCTCCAGGACCAAGGGACTTGCTGAGCATCAGATGCTCTACGGTCCCTGTCAGGGCTGTTCTGGAGGCCTGCTGAGATCTCCTGGGGGCCTCTGTTGATGGTGAGCCCACAGAATGTGGCCTCAGGAGCCTCACGTCCTGCCTGTGCTCCCTATCTGGTGGGGGAAGGGCACTGGCCCTGGAATCAGCTCTGACTCCACCACCCAGTGGTTGTCGCACCTCTGGCATGTCTCCTCATCTTTCTGAGCTTTGGTTTCCCTATCTGTAAAATGGGTTATAACAGGACCTACTTCATGGGTTTGTTGTAGGGGATAAATTGAAAGATATAGGCTCATTTCATCTCTCGACTGGAAATGAGGGAACACTGCTGCGTGCTCCTCACCTGCTGGGCTCAGGGACGCTTGGCATGCAGGGTGGGTGAGTGTGAAGCACAGTCCTGCCTCCCCTTGATTCCCTGTTATCTGTGGTGCCCACAGCCTGACCCGTGGCTGCAGAGGAGGGTAAAAGGATGATGGGTGCTGAGGATCAGGGCTTAAGTAAGTCATTGCAGGGGTCAGGGAAGGGGGTCCTAGTTTCTACTCTTCCTCCAGACTTCCTGAGTCATTCTGGGGAAATCACAGAATCTGATTCTATCTATAGTGGGGTGACATAAATAGGCAGAGCAGAGAAGCAGCCCAGAAGACTGGCCCTTGTTCCTCCCAAGACTTTTTTGCCCCAGAAATCTTACTTATAGTCTCTCCCATCACCATCCTCTACAGGGTCTAGTCCATTCTTCTAAAGTGCAGCTCTGAATGTGTTGCTCACTTGCTCAAGAACCTTCAATGGCTCCCTATTCCCCATGGAATAAAGAAACCTCACAAACAAAGGAACTGCAGATTCAAAGACAGAGCTCATGATTCTTGGCTGAGGGGAAGGAAGGAGGGCTTCCTGGGGCTGATGCGCTTCAGTTGGATTTGAAGGAATTTGACAGGAAGTGCTCGGCATTCTGATAGATGGAAGGTACTCCATCTATCAAGGCCTAGTGAAGGCAAAAAGGCAGGAGCACATAAGCCTGGGAACGCTGAGGCAAGGGCATGTGTGGCAGGGCGAAGGGAAGCGAGGCTGGGAGAGAAAGAGGCTGAATTATGATAGGCTTTAGTTGCCTGGACTCTCTCTTGCTGCAGGGAGCCACTGCAAGGCCTGGCTCTGGGGAGCAGCTGGAGGTGAGAATCTGAAACAAGGGCTGGCATACAGGGATCCCTGTGAAAGGAGAATTTTGGAGCAACTTCCTCAGTACCTGGCACAGTGCCAGACACATAATAATAGTAACAATGATGATGTTTATGAAGTGTTTATTTACTGTGTCAGGTGCTATTCCAGATGCTTTGTGACATTAATTCATTGGCTCCTCATTACAGCCCTATAAGGAAGGTGCTATTATTATCCCCATTTTACAGACAAAGAACTTACATGACTTGCCAAGCCCACATAGCTAGTAAGTGGCAGAGGAAGGGTTCATCTCCTGATAGTCCAACTCCACATATCACTCTTATCCATAAAGCTGTACTGCCTCAGTAGTTTAAGTAGTGAATGAAT